TACATCGAGGGTCTACGGTACTACAAACTTCAACTTCGGCGACTTCAACGTTCAATGTGCCGGGACTCACTCAAGTCGGGGGAGGGGTGTAATGATCTGCACGTGCAAGAGCAGAACCCAACCGCATCATCAGTTGAGTCCGCACGCAGAGAGCCCAAGTCGTCGTCTGCATACTCACCGGTTGCGCAAGCTCCTACTCCGGCACGCCTCAGCCAACCACTTCATGTTTAGGACCGAGCGCCATGAGGGCGCCCTCGGGTAGATGGATAGCAGCAAACAGACAAAGACATCAATTCAGTTTCCATTTTACTCGCAACACAACAAGTACAACCAGAACCTTACAGACCTGACCAACGGAAGTCTAAATCTGGGTGCACGGTTCAAGCGGTAGTGACGAGGAGGTCGAGTAGGTGAGCTGCTTCATTCGGTCTTTCGCTCAGCGCTGAGCGATTGGGCCATGTGCGCTCGCAAGTAGGCGACGCGGAATTTTAACCCACCCACCATTCCCGAGGGGGTGCCTCGGCTTGCCTTGCAGTTCAAGCCGCACCGAGGCTAGCCTCATCAGCTGAAAATGAAGCAGCTCTAGCCCCACATGAATTCTTGCACAAGAGAGGAAAGACGAATGATACGAATTCCAGTAACGCGTATGCTGACATCTCCGATACAGCACTGTCCACGTTTTCCAGGGTAACACCTGCCATCTCCGAGTGATATTGGGCCTGGAGAGGTGGACCATCGTCCGCACGAACGCAGCGTAGAGCATTGGGACCATGCACTCCACGTATTCCGCCAGAACTAGGCACTCTGACGTAAAGAGCACCTCCATTCCCCCACCAAAGACCCCCTTCGTCACTCTGTTAAAACTTACGAACTTCAATCCTTTCTTTGACCTCTAGCTTGACGTCAAGGAATTCCTTTTCGCCGAGTTGTACAGTAGCTGCTTTTCGATCCTTTCCAGTACATCTCTTGCTTCGGGGGATAACTGATGAGGCATACTAGCCCACACGCGAATACATGGGTGCATCTGCTTGAAGAATAGTTGAGGATGGCTGCATAGCGATCTGATCGAAGTGAGTAGATCAAACGGTTCGGCGACTGGGACATCAGTACCGAAAACCTGGCGGATCTTAGCTGAGATTTCCTGTGATTTTTTATGAAGCGAGAGCAGGGATACCGCCGAATGGAAGAGGTCGATAGCCATGATCACTGCCATCGTTGTGGACGAGATCGATTGCATGAACGTCGCCAGGTACAGCATGTCGAAAAAGTTGACCGTGAACACAACCTGCTCCGGCATCATTTCTTCCTTGTGGATAGTCGCCGGTATGAATAGCAGCTTTAGGACGAATTTGAGCATTGGAAGTATGAGAAGAACCGGTAGTTCGTACAACGTATGGTTCACCTTGGTGACGAGAACTTGATATACTGGGTAACCATCAAACATAACGCCGGATAGCACGATAATTTTTCTGGGATAGCAGTAACCCTGGGGTATGCTGTGGCCAGCCCAACACAGATTAATTAGGCGGCACTCCGGTAACTGAAGCCGGTAAAACTGAAGCCGAAAAACTGGCTCCTGTAACCGGTTTGGTCTCGGTATTGAGTCTGAATGCTGAATGGGGTCGAAGTGATTAACGCAACCTTAATAGTCACTTTCAGTCGAAGTCGCTCACGATTCTGGGGGCGTGCCAAACGCGGCACAATGATGACGAAGTTGCATTGTAGCACCACCACTGCCGGGGTATCCGAGCGTGGCGGGTTAAGCGGCAGACGGAGATTCTGAAACTAACGCTACGACCTCTACGACTGCTCCTAGCACTTGAGCGTTGGTTTCATCTCTGCTTTCTCTCCTCAAAAGCTATTTTCACCTTGAACTTGAAAATATCCAACAAAAAATCCCATAAAGTTGCTCCAGCAACTTTATTTTTTCATTAAGGTGCGCAAGATGAATTGGCGCAAGAAAACGAACTGGTGGACCGCGTTCCTCGCGAACGCATCAGCGGGACGTGGAATCAGCGCCAAGCAATCGAGCGCGCGTTTGCTGAGGTCACAAATCCGGTAGCCTCTATGCCACGGCGCGAGTTCGAGGATTGGGATGCTGTATCGACAGCGGTGCAGGCCTATAGCGCGGATAATTACCTGCACTTTCGTATTCGTGACTCTGAAACGCGTGAGCACTACAATGCGTAAGTACCTGGGTGAATATGTTGAATTTTATGGTACATACAAGGCTGACGTCTTTTTATGTGTGAAGGAATGCGCGGTTCCCCATGCCGGACAAGTATTCCTACAAGAAAAAGTGGTTTCGATGCACTCATGGGTGTATGCCAGAATCGCGAGGCGATGGTACTCGGGCACACCCGCTTCGCTACACTGGCTGCAAAGCTCGCTTCAAGGCTGAGGCCGTCCAATACGGCTTACCAACGGGGGAAATAGTTTGGAAAATCATTTTATCCAACCAGGTATTTTTATTTATTATTATCGTATATCGACGGGTGCTAACATATTTCACATTTTCCAGACTTATACACACAACCACGTCACGAACCGCGCACTCTACGACTCATATTTCGGTGTGAGGGAAATTAGCCATGACGATTCCTCTCTTGTAACCGGCCTCGAGTTGCTCGTAGATGCAAACGCCAGTCCGAAGTACCTCACGCGCTTTATTTCCAACGAGCTGGGTACGTCGTGGATTGGTTTCACGTTTTGTTATCAAGTTAATCTACAACGGCTTATGCTTGCAGGTAAAACGGTATCCCCACAACAGACTCGCAACATCATCGCCAAATTGCAGGGATACACAACCGTCGACTGCCACCTACAAGCTTTGCTACAACGGGTAGCTCGAGTTGCGGGGGGAGATGTGATGGTGATGGAAGATCAACTGGGGATGACCGTCGGAATTGCTATACAGACCAAGATCCAGAGGTCGTTTTTCCCGCAGTGGGGCGAAACTTTAGCCATGGATTGGACGCACGGCACAAATAATATGGGCTGCCACCTAGGTATGTAGTGCGCTAATTCCTGTTGAAGCAGCACTGGCGACTTACCGAGTTTTTCATATCTATATTATTACTTTCAGGTACATTGATGGTGACGAGCCCAACTGGAAGGGGTGTGCCCGTTCTGGATTTCCTTGCCGTCGATCATCAAGCTGAGACGACGGAGGCTATCCTCGAGTTTTTCAAACGGCAAAACAATAGCTGGACTCAGATCGAGACGGTCGTCATCGATAAGGACTTCACAGAGTGGAAGGTTTTGCTGAAGTGCTTCCCACACGCGGAAGTATTGCTGTGTCAATTTCACGTGTATGCCTACTGGAAGAAGCTCGTAAAAAACGACTCTATGCCCCGAAAGCAGAGTATGGTGATGCCATCTTGAAGTATCTGATAAAGATGATCTACAGGTTTGTCTTAAGCACGCCACGCATTTTTCTTTTGCGATTTACTAATTTTTACATTGGCGGTATTGTGGTGGTAGCCGCTCTGAGCGCGCGTTCGATGCGGCTTACGAGTCCTTCGAGCGGTATTGTAACAAGCACAAGCTGAAAGAGGTCAAGGACTACTTCGATCGAAACTGGTTGAGTTGCCGTAGTATGTGGTCCGACTTCGCGAGATCAACAAAATTTACTGCTGGAAACAGCACAACGACCCGAGTGGAAGCCAATTGGAGCCAACTGAAGCCGTCGACTGGATCGGGAATGCGTTTGGACAGAACGGTTGGCCGCCTGCTAGATCATTTGATCAGTATCCTCCGGGAGCTGCTTACGGTTGCGCGCAAGGCAATGGGGAGTTCCAGAAATCCTTCGATAATTCCTGACTTTCTTCGCAAGATCTCAAGCTTGACGAGTGAATATGTGATGAAGAAGGTGAGAGGAGAATGGGATGAATATATGGGTGCTGAAAATGCGCCTGTGTACGAGCGCAAATCTGGCGAGCAGTGGACATGGCTCATGAGGGACGTGTCAACATCATCCCGAACGTATGCTGTCAACGACATCGACCGGACTTGCTCGTGTCTATTTTATTCGAGCTACCGCTTGCCGTGCCGCCATCTGATGTTTGTGGCCCAAAAGATACATCGGTTTGCGGAGATGCCGACTTCATCTCTTCCGTCCCGTTGGTCAATGAGTGAACTAATTGGTTTTAGTGGCGAGTTGGAGGAAAGCGTGAGCGCTCTCACTTCTACAGCGGATATGATGAAACTGCGTGGACCCCGTCCTGGTGACACTAGTGCATTGGATACCCAAGAGCAGGCAACGCGATCTCGTGAGGAGGTCTGATCCACGGACCCTGAAGGTGTTGAAGACAGAACCCAAAGACATCGTGTACACCCGACTCCAGCGGCGTGAAAAGTCGAACCTCGTGGTGCTGTCATCGCGAGAAAAATATTTGTACGCCCAAAAAGCTGTGCAGCCTCTTCTGAACATGACGGAGGATCTCTCTACCGTCCAATTCTACAAACACCTCCGTATTCTTCAGGATTACGTCGACGAAGTCCTCAAGAATGACGCAGCGTCACACCCGGAAATGCTACGTCCTTTACACGTCATGAGCGACAGCGACGATGAAGAGCTGGATAGCAACACTTTCCGCGGCGGTAATAGAGATTCCGGCGCCATCGGCATTGACGCATACAGTACTACCAACGGAGTAGTTGAGCTAGCGAGGTGCTTGCTCGAATCGGACGTTTCTCAGCCTTCAGTTGCAGTCAGCAAGGTCTCCGGGCAACCTGAAAAGTGCGCAGCTGAGCAATGTGTCGCTGGGATTGACACCTGTGAAGATCGTCGTGAGGCAGCCGGAACTACACGTGAAAGGAGCGGTGCAAATGGCGCTGTTAATGGCTTCAACAACGCCCAAATACTGGCCGGTGATTTTGGCGGTGCTGGTAGTATGTCGGTGATAAAGCTGGGTAAGCCGAAATCTCGTGGAAAGCTTCGTCAAACCACACTCCAAGGCTTCGCTAAACGTTCCAGTCAACGCTACGATGTTACGGTTTACCCGGACAACCTCAAAGATACTGTCCGCGACGTCGTTCAGTGGGCAAACAACACTGCGCCTCTGAAAAGTGTACGCACCATGCTCAACGCGTATCCTGTATTGTTTGACCAGCCTTACATGCGCGAGCGAATTACTCGATGCAGTGTTGATGTGGTCAGCCGCGATGCCCATCAGCACAACTTCGTTCTTCCGAGAGATCTGGTCAAAAAGATGCGGGCCGATCTCAAAGAATCTAACGAAAATTGCCGTGAGAGTTTGCCTCTCAACCTCTCCAACGGCAAGCTAAAAACGTTCGTGGTCTCGTTTGATCCAAACAAGGAGTCATTTCCCAGGTAATGTAACTCACTTTGTCCTTCTCCTATCGCTAGATTTTGAAGTAACCAACTCTGATGCACGTATGTGATAATGTAGTGGTGAAGTGTACGCCATGGAAATGTTTTATCTGGCCAAAAAGAAGTGTTTTCAGTGGAAAGATGACATGGAGTGGCTTCGACAAGTTTGGACCGATGTCAACCTGACTAGTGTGGAGCTCTTTGAAACGGAAAACAGTGCTCATGTGTTGGCCGAACCTGCAACACTTGACGGTGATGGCGAAATCTCAACGGTTCAACTTCTTCATCAAACCCTGGCGGAGGCTGTTCTCGAGAAGTACAACTCAACGGTATTGAGCTCGGATTTACGTCTCCCGTCCGGCCAAGACTCAATTCGTTTCGATCAAATTGTTGGTTTTGTGGCGGGTAATCGCATGTTGAACGACGACATACTGCGATTTACATTACTACTCATGGCAGAGCAGTTGACGACTTCGCAGACCCTGGTGTTTTCTCCTCATGCACCAATGCTTGGGTTCCCGAGACCTCCCCAGCACACGCGACTGACTTCGGTGTCTTTCATGATCCTCCCCGTTTTCTTTTCATCATCGAACCATTGGGGGATCATCATCGTTGAAGTGGATATGGATATGCCAACCCCGACGATATATGTGTTCTACTACGAGTCGATTGGCGCTGATTCATATCTATCAGTAATGAAAGAAATCTGGAACAAAAAGCTGTTGGCGCATTTGAAGCTTTGGTACGTCCAAGACTGTGACGACAGAGCCCGAGCCGAAGGATTCCCTTTCACAGTCGTCGAAGAAGCGATTAGTGTACCGCTACAACCCGATGGAACTTCGTGTGGAGTGATGGTGATTGCCATGGCGTATTCTTACTTGACTGGGAATCGCGATTTCCCTCTGCACAAGGTGACAAAAGCCTACGTTGCGTGCATGCGGCTTCGCATTCTGTGGATGGTGATGACAAAGGCGGTGATTGAACCCATCCCACAGCTCATCAAGGAGCACGCCAGCAAAACAAACAAGGAACTGAAGAAAGCTCTTGGTCGCCACTAAGTCTTCGCTTGCGTGAAGGCTTCTGTGAGCAGCCTAATAGCGTGGGGACAAACGCTGCTTGCCATCATCAAGTGAAGGTCCATTTATGTTGGAAATACCTCCGTGCGAACCGGAGCTGCTAGGCACTCTCCGCATTCAAGGAATCGTGCTGGTTTCAATGCACGAGATCACACTCCTTGCTGTGCTACTCGTGAGCTAGTTATATTCAAGAAAGAAGCGTATGAGGCCAGGATTCGATAGCACACCCTATCAAGGATTTACGTCTCGCGAGAGATGTCTAACATCGAATACACTTGCAAATTTACCTCCCAGAACCAGAGCACTAAGTCTCATACTCAGCAACGCAACATAATGTTAGGCATACACGACGCGGGTTGATTGACGGATAACTCTGCAGTGCTCATTTACCCCGTGCATCATCGATTACAGCATGTTGCTATAATGTGCGCATTATCCTAGAATATTTTGCAAAAGGGAACAAAGTTTGCATGAGCCAAATGACATGTACAATCTTCTCGTTAAAGTCTAAAAGTACTATACTGTTGACCTCGCTCATCCTGGTTGCTCGCGTCGGACGCTTCCACGCAGTTAATCAAGCCCATCGTGCAGCAACCAGTTTCAAAATTCATGGTCGTGTCGTGGTAGTCTTTCGACAGGTAAAAGCTCGGCACGTCACGCAGCATGTTCAGGGTTGGTTTACCTACAGGGGCCGACAAGGTGTTGACGCTATCCTTGCCCATCGCTGCGGTGTTGACGAAAGCCTAAGTGGCTGGAAATGAACGGGCACTTCCATCACTCGATCTGCCGGGTAATCCAGCAGCACCTTCAGCCTATCGTCTTTGACCACTTAGCTCAAGAGCCACCGAACCGCCGACACCTTTTGCGCGCCTGCACCACGAACCTCTTTTTTTTTCAGATCCAGCAGCCATATTTGATGGACCTCAGTTGAATTGGTACACAATGCATCAACATGCAGCGGAGATTTGGCCGTACACTGCAGGTTTTGTTCTGCCCGCGCCGAGTAACCTTAACACCTTAAGTTCTGGAACATGCAGCGCAGTGGCTTCATAGCTTGGCTGTCGCTTATTTTTTCCGTCGTTGCGCTTGTGTCCTCGTGTCGGAACTGCTCCCACTGGGGCTACAGGTGCCGATACAGACCCGTGCCGACTTCCAAAGCAGGCGTCACACCAGCTCGACGCTCGCAACGCACCAGTTGGCACTGAGCCACCGCCTTGATCGACTGACACCGGCTCGCCTCTGCCTCTTTTGAAGCTGAACAAGTCACGTCCGTAACACTCCACAGCCTCCAGTGCTGGTGGACCCCAGGAAGCGCACCGATATGCTGGTGGCGCTGAACTTGTCGGCTCTCGGGGTCGGTGAGAACGCTGAAGCCAATTTGCTAGCCTTGCTCCTTGAAACAAAGCCCAGGAAACACATGCCCACGTAGTGCTTGTGCACCTGCATCGTGACGCCCACGTGTCGGAACGCTGCTCCTTGCTCGATTGACTGCATTACTCTGCTCTTAAGTCACCTTCCCGCCCAGCACTTGGATGTGAGCTTCATCTACTTGCCGCCGCCTCGAACAGGATTTCCCCTCGAGTTTGTCCACGATCGTCCTGCAGCGCAGCGCAGGGTAACGCAGTGGACGCCGCAGAGTGCTCTGGTATGCCCTCCTGCCGACGCAGCTTCGTCGGATGCAGATCTCTTGGCTCCGAGGTAGATAGTGGTATAACAAAATTTGTCCTCGAAATATTCGATTACTACTGTCATTTTTCTCGATAAATTACCGGTTGCTGAAGCAACCTGTAATTTTAAGGTTGCCGAGCCGTTTTTAAGGTTGCGGGGGTCTCTTAAGGGTGCTGTAGCCGGTGTCGTTTTGTCGTAACAAAGTTGCTTTACGGACTGCCAAATGGGGTCGCTCTCAATCCATCGAGACAATCGAGACGGACTACCGGACTACAGCTACAGACACTTATGATGGCCGGACTGATGGCCGTGGACCAGGCGCCCGAGCGGGAAGGATGCGCGTACAGGCACACTTTCGCTAGCATGGACGAACAAAGGCGCGCATGGCTCGACGGGTCCGGCGGTGATGAGCAGGACCAAGAGCGTCGTGGTGTCGGGGCCGCAGCTGCAGCTCGAGAGCGTAAAAATGCTCTACGACGAGAGAGGCGGGCCCGCCAACGCGCATCGGCGCCAGTGGTTGACCCTGGAGCCGCTGATACGGCGCGGGAGCGCAAGAATGCGATGCAGCGAGAGCGGCGAGCTCGCCCTGTAGCTCGGGCGCCGGATGCCGGCGAGGTTGCCGCGGCCGCGGTCCGGGATCGGAAGAATTTACAGCAGCGAGAGCGGCGAGCTCGTCAGCGCGAACAGCCTCGGGTAGAGTTCGCGCAGGAACATGTTGCAGATTCGATCGCCATTAATGCAGCCCGGGTGATGAACAATACTCAACGCCAAAGTCGATGCATGGAGGAGACGGAGAGCGATAGGCAGCAACGCTTGCTGAGACAAAAGACAAGCCGTCAGGCAAAGGTTGCTAGCTGTCGAGAGGAGGATAGACGAGATGGAGAGCAGTTGTCTGCGCGAGTACTCGTGGCGTGTGACCTGACGGAAGATGAAATTCAGGGGATGGCGAAAAAACAACATTTTTGCAAGATCCGCGCCTCGCGCTTGCATATTACTATTGCTGCGGAACAGATCCCCGCTAGTTTGTTTTTGGAGATGAACAGGTAGGGAGCGAGGAACGAGCAGGCACACGCGATCGGATCTCTGAACTACTGGATGATTATCCGAGGGCAAGTGATATCGCGGATTGTCAGCGGTTAGTAAACGAACATGCTTCAGAGTCAACCTCCATTTGGGCATGCGCGGCTTGCGGGCGCATTCTACTGGAAAACGACGAGTGGTACGGTCATGTCTTCGCGCCCCTCGTCGTGCCTTAAGTCGGACTTTGAGATATTAAAGTCACACCAGTTTCTAGTTTTCTTTTTTAACTGGGCGCCCCTTCATGAATGTACATGAAGGGTCAGAATCCTGTGATTTCCGCAAACTTAAGTCTTATTCAGCAGCAGCATCGGGTACGGGACCGGTATGCCTGGAAAGCCCTGACTCAAGAATAGGTAATGGTGCAGTTGGAGGCTTTCAAGACATGTAGAATTCGAGCAATGTCCGCTCAAAGCTGACGCCACCAGACGACTCCGGGCGCCCTTTCGCCATTTCTTACCGTTTTTTATTTATTGCCACTGATTTGCGTGATTTTCTGAAGGCCCCCACTATAAATTAAAGTGTGTTCAATTGACTACATATACCATGCAGCGAAGACACGTAGTGTCTCGATGAGCTAGAGTTATGGCTTAGGTGTCGTGCAGTTGCCTGAATACCACATGAATGTATTGGCGTAGACCTTCTTCCCTATTTTACGCGGTTTGAACGTAGAATTAGCGTTCATTTTCGCCACAAGGACACTAGCGGTACCGATCACGTAGCCGAGCACTAGCGAACGCTGCAATAGGGCTTGCTGTTACTGCGTCCGTACAGATAGTACCAATATTCAAGCAGCAATGCATTTCAAAATGAAACTGTGAGTGGTTGATGCCGATAATCATGGCGGCCGTCCCAACAGAGGGCACCTCGAGTAAAACAAACAGGTCTCAAATCACAACAACCACCAGGCTGGTGTACGTGTTTGGAAATAGTGCTATGAACAAATGGGCGATGCATGCAAGGTTCTCTGTGCTCAGAGATAGGAAAATCGAATAGGAAAATATTATAGGAGATGGATTCGGGTTCCGATAATTGAACGGAGCACATGAACGATCAGTGGTGTGTGGGCGAAATCTCAGTTGTGACAGGTAGCGTGTAATGTTCCCAGCTCTCCATACTAGCGTTGTTGGATGCACGCAGTTGGATGCATTGGATGCATTCCCCGCGTAAGTCGATTGATGACACACCACTTACACAAAATAGATTAGATTCAAAAATTCATTTTGGAGGGGGATTGCGGTCGCAATTTTTCCCGCCAAAAATCTTCTCGTGGTGCGCAGCAAGCTCGTCAATTCCGCCACCCTCAGCACCGCTGGCGCAGGCAGGGAAACTCGTAAGTATACGCTGCTCTGTTGTCTTGATGCTGGTCTGTGAGTGTTACGGGACTCTGGTAGTGCCTACGCATGTCACGTCTAGATATCCGTTCACCAAGTGAAGAGAGGCGCGAACGCGGCGGTCACGTCAAGGATAGCAGCCAGCAGTAGTTCACGACGTTGAGTCCGCGGCAAAGGAGTGACGCTCTACCTGTCGTTGAGGCGGCCCTTGCGCTGATTTCCCTCCCGGGACGCTCGCTTTCATGGCGAAGCCTCGTCGTCGAGGATTGGACCTACGAAGTGAACTCCGGAGACGCTCACTGCGATGTGTTTGAGCTGCTTCGAGTGCCAGGCTCTCCGGACCTGATCAACGTTTCGCAATCTCGCCTCGTTGTGCCCCACCGGTGGTTAAGGAGTCGTCGACAAGCTCAAGGACAGGAAGAAGGGGTTCCGGGAGGAAGGAACGCAACCAGAAGGCTATGTTCTGTTCGTAGTTGAGAGGACCAAGCTCTATTTGCCTGGTACGCTCTCTATAGGCAGCAACTTAATTCAAAAGGGAAAATAGATCTCCTTCTCTCTCTACCTCTCTCTTAAAATTCGTGACGTGTACGCTGGCGAAGACCTGCTGTCTAAGCGCTTGCTCGGGTGTGCCCCAGCCTGCCGGGTGCGAGGGCGCAAGAAGCCGTGATATGGCAACGTACTGCTACCGTTAGAAGGCAAGGAGCGGTTTCCTGGTGCAAGCTTCAATGGGCCTTTGTCAATGGCATTCTACACGAACTGCTAGGCATTTCGATCGGTGAGCCTGAAGTTCAGGGCGTGATTTATGGAGGGCGGTCATGGTTAGATGCAATGCATAATATGCGCATCCAATGCATCCAATGCATCTTACGTGCATCCAACTACGTGCATCCAACAACGCTACTGCATACAGCACTTCAAGCCATGCTATGAATCGTGTATTAAAATACACGATTGCTAAACACGCTCCGTAAGGTATCATGCGTGGTAATAGTTCCGTTTGCCTCACACTATAGAACTTTAGCTATCCCAGCCTACTCAAAGCTCTCGTACCGAATTGTCGCAGGTTTCTCCGCTGCGAACATACTAGTCTCCAAGCTTTGCCACCCAGCACAACGCGCAAGCCTACACCCAAGAAGAGCGCCAACACTAGTGAAATTGTCAACATGAAGAACGGGACTGGAAATACCGATACCGCCGCTACTGTTATTCCTATAGCGTTGAAAGCGATGCCGGAATACGTGGAATACGCTATAAACTGCCTTAGAGATAGTGAACGAACGTTGAGCCAGATCCCGACTTGTGTTGTGACGGCGTACGACGCAGCAACTCCAGCAAAGCCCACACGGACCCAAAATCCATAATTTGCTTTCCAACCTTCTTTTGGATCTTGAAGTGGAACAGTCTCCTGGCATATTACGATAGTGAAGACAGCAAGCGGCAGGCTAATGATCACGAGGACAACGCGAATCGCAGATGTAGAGCGACTGTACTCTTCCAGGGCCAGCATTCGTTCGATCGAGTATTTTCCACCAAAGTGCGCGAGCTGGGTACCATGCCATGCGCGAAGCCATTTATCTATCCACGTTGTGACGCTTGTGAGGCGGTTCGCGTTCGCTGTTCCGTCCGAAGGCGCCACCTTTGTTGTCCCCACCAGGCCGATCATGATGTTAGTTGCAATAAGGATAAAGCACAAATATCAACTCGCCAAGCTAGCTATTCTGGTATTTCCTGGAATTTATTTCAGAGAGGACGCTGTTAATGATGCTAATTAAAGTCAACTAAACTCAACCAAACGCTGGTTCATGGATGATACTCAATTTATGCAGTGAAAAGGGCCCTAGGGCGACAGCTGAGCTACGTTGTTTGGTCGCTTTGACCTAGACTTCTTGGAGGTTGGGATGCGAGGAGAAGACCAGCCCCTTCCAATCTTCGAGTGCGATGTCCATCGTCTGCTTTAGGATCTGCTTCTCCATCAGAAGTACGCGCAGCACGTGGGCCTTGCGCGCGCTTTCCAGCGTGTCTTCGTCCGCCAGCTTTTCAAGTTCTTCTTGGTCTTGCTCCACTGAAGTCGGGTATTGCTGCAGCAGCGTCGTGCACGTTGACATTATGGCGCGCGTGAAGACGAACTCGTTCCGGAGGCTCAAAATGTTTCGCTTCTCTGCCTCCTCCTTCGGGTCCAGCAGCTCCTTAAAGCGCGACAGCTCCGCTCCAGACAGCAGCTTCATCTTGAGCGACTTGGAGATCTCGTCGTCAATCTTGGAGCTACCGTGGAACAAGGCGTAGCTCGCGTTAACACTCTCGTTCAGCTGCGTGTGCAGCAAGTAGCTCTTCACCGACGCTAGTGCGTCACTAGGATCTAGCGTCACCGTCAGATCCAGCTTGTCTAGCTTCTTTGACGCTCGATCGCGCGCGAATCCGTTGTTCAGCATGAACTGCGCCGAGGATTTCCCCGGCATACTGAGCCGAACTTCTCGTCCCTTTTCAAGAGGTGACGACGCATGCACGACCAAGCGCTGCGAGCTCTGGTCCACCTCGATTTGATTGGGAGGACACGCCTCGTCGCCTTCGTCGGCGACGTCCGTGCAGATCCCGATCGTGTCCAGCACAGGCGCCAGCACCACGTCCGCCTCGTCTTCTCCCACTGGGAACGCGCTCGCCCAGACGACGCCCATCGCCCAGCGGAATTTATCGAGAGTGAAGTCTTGCTCCTTGAAGATCGGCGGGTCGACAGCCTCCGGCGACGTGACGGGCTGCAGTAGAGCGTCGTAGAACGCTTCGACCGCTTGAGCCCTCCCCAAAGTGTAGCGCAGCAGCTGAGACCCCTCCATCTCCTTGAGCTGGTTTTCGGAGTAGAACAGCGTGCTGTTGATGGCTTCAACGCCAGGCAACGACGATACGAACTCGGAGAAGTTGGACTTCGCTCCAAGCGCCTGTTCTTCCAGTAGGTGCAGCCCCAACGCGATGGCCGGCGGTAGATCCGGGTTCACCTCCAGCAGTAGCCCCACTCTACCTCTAGCCGCCGACGCCACACTCATCACCTTGCTCATTGGCAGTGACAACAGCTCGGCGCCTTGCTCCACGTCCTCCGTCACAGTGTAGGCCATGCCACGTCCGAAGTTGAATCCTTCGGCTTTCAACACGGATGAAGTAGGGGATTCTACCTTGGCTGCACCCCCGATCGGTCGAATGTTGATCCCCACTGGGCTCCCATCAGGGAACGCTGTGCGACCTTCGAGCACCGGCCGATCCGAGCGAGAGGCGGCGTAGCCTCCCCATTCCGCTTTGGAGTCGGGGTCTAGGTCGAATTCCACTTCAACGTCGGGTCTCGCAGCAGCGACGACGTCCGGACTGGCGTCGATCGATAAGGGCGAGGCCGACCGACCTCCGTACAGCAGCAACAGCGAGAAAACACTCAGGAGCGACACCATTCTTGAGCAACTTGGCTTGATGAGGGGCTTTTCCGGAATGACTGCCACGAATGACACGCATGGTATCTTTCTAGCGATCTTTGCTCACGAAAGGACGCAGTGTGGTGCACACCAAATATCCTTACGAAAGGAACATAGTGTTGTGCACACAATATTCGTAGATTTGTTTTTAGGTCATCCATTTGAAGTGGAGGGTGAAATCAACGCCTAATTACCAGACAAAAAAGGTCAGTACATTCATCATAGGTAGTGCTTCGGACTTACCGAAATGGTCGATGCGATACGTGAGCGTAACGAGCATCCAGAGCACGAGTTTGGTCAGAATGGGGGCCATCTGCGTTTCCAATACGAACGCTAGCTGGTACACGACTTGAATCCCGCAGTTCCTCTTCGTGATCATCACGAGGATCACGAACGATATAAACTCCAGCAGGGCGTAGACGAACATGGGAGACACCATCTCGCGGACGTTTTCGTCCGTGACGCCGATCATCTCTGTGCCCGTACATTACCGGTACGAAAACCTCCAGATATTCGGTCAAAACGATGCACTCGGAAGCGAACAGCACCTCGAGAGCTTCTTGCAGAACTTCAGAGGATTTAATGGTCGAGTTGGATGGCTTGACTTGTTGCAAGACTTTGGAGAGAATTGTTGGTCTTGGATGATGAGACGCCGGTGGAATCGGCTGAACAGCCACAATATTTCTCGATCTGTGTCGAAACCAGTTGCTGGATGAGCTATGACGGATACTGTCAACAACCGACGCTGTCCTCGATGATATTTGAGCTAGGACGCTTGGATTTTGGGACGAGGAGATCGAAGTCGACGATCGTGTTCTCGCCTCACTGGCCACATTCTCCAACAACACTCTGCCTTCGTGAGATAATTTGTGGGAAATGCAGGACCGGACTTCAATTTTGGGACGCAGTTGCTTGCGTAAAATGTCCGGCTTTAAACAGATCGTCTTCAGGCTAGTAAGCAATGACTCGTTAGCGGTTGTTCCAGCGAGTTTGTGAAGCTGAACTATCACACCGCGAGTTCGCTGGTGCAGCTCCTGCATTTCTACCGCCGTTTGCAGTAAATCCACCACTACAGTAGAACCACTACGAGCGTCGAAGTCGACAAGGTTTGCATAAATGTCGCGAGATAAAAGGCGTCAAAGAAGTCCACAGTGAACACAACTTGCTCCGGTATCATGTCCTGCTTGTGAGACGCCGCGTGTGCAAGGATGGCTTTCGCTTAAAGATCGGAAGCAATAGAATCACTGGCAGCTCATACTGCGTGTGATTGGCCTTCGTGAAGAGAACTTGATAGGCGGGATACGCTGTACCCACCAACGCCTGAAGTCCTGAGACTAAGTTCATCCGACGTCGAGGTCCTTTCTGGGAAGTTATTTGCTTAAAGGTACGAGCTCCAGCGGCAGCTCGAAGCCCTCCGATGATCAGCAAAGTCTCTACACTTAAAAACGTTAGCATGAAAAAGGGGATTGGGAAGACCCAAACCTCCGCAACCAAGATTCCAGCACCAATGAGACCAAGCCCGACGATGCCGCAGTATGCTGCTATCTGTCGGGATGAAAGTGCAGGGACCTCGAGCCACGGCTCGACTTTGCTGGCTACGGCTTGAGCGATTGCAGCGCCAACCAGACCCACGCGCACCCAGAACCCGTAGTTGGCCTTCCACCCTTCATCTGGATCTGGAGTGGAATGCTCTCTTGGCATAACACCAGAGCAACGATGAGAAGCGGTAATCCGATGCTTAGGAACATCACGCGAGTTAATGATGTGGCTCGAGTATATTCCTCAAGCGCTAACATCCGCTCGATTGAGTACTTCCCTCCAAAGTGAATGAGCTGCAAGTCGAACCATGCTTCGTAGAACTTCTTCCACCAAATCGCGAGCAACTTGCGTACTTGTTCATGTTTTGGAGTTGTTATAGGAGCTAGCGCTGCGTCCGCGTCATTTGATGAAGAACTATCGCAGTTGGATGAGGTCATGGTCGGACGTGGACGAAAGTGCGTGTGTAAGATGGAGTGGAAGGGGTCGACTCGAATCGGTACCGTCTTACCTATCTTTGGATCATCAAGCTGCCGACATACTACGCGTTATAGTGTTATTTATCCAACCCACTTTACGCTAGGGGTGATATAAAACAAGTTCCGGACAACAGAGAAGTCCTAACAAAACGGAATCGAAGAGGTCACTTGTCTGCTATGATTTATATGGTCGCTCTGTGCATCAAGCTATATAGAATGCTTGGTACAGTGGCTAGTGACAGGCGTTGGATTCGAGTGAGTGGAAGAAATTTCGACGATCAAATTCAAAAGTACCAACTCCAGCAGTGCTTTGATAAATATGGCTGGGACTAGGTTCATCTGAGCTCTTACTGTCACCCATTGATGCATAGGGCTAAGCATGCGCGTCCAACGAAGATCAACCGCTGTCTGCTTCCTACGTGCGATGCTTCATCCATTCAAACTGAAATGAGAAATCAGGGCCTGCGTCGAGGAGATTAGTTCTCTAGAATGTGTAAAATACAAGTGTGTAAGACCATGCATTACGTAGCAACGTACCGAAGTGCGTGACTCTGTAGGTCAGTGCGTAAAGTATCCATAAAACCAGCTTGGATGGCACGAACGCGATTTCCGTTTCTAGCACGAACGCTAGCTGATACAGCACATGAATTCCACAATTTCGCTTTGTGATCACAACGAGAGCTACAAGTGACAAAACTTCCAACAGCGCGTGGAGAAACATTCGGGAAACCATCCCACTGACGTTGTCGACACTGACACCATCCATCTCGCTGTGATACGTTGCGCTAGGCAAGTGAACTGTGACCAGAATGAAGAGTCCGTAGATAATAGGGATGATGATCTCCACGTACTCAGTCAGCACAATACACTCGGAAGTAAAAAGAATCTCGGCCGACTCCTCAAGAACTGTAGCAGTTGTCGTTACCGATGATCGACGTGGTATCTTGTCCAAGTCCGTAGTAGCAGAAGCGTCCTTTCCTGCCTTCCCGGTTTTAGCACGCTCAGCCCATTTATCAGTCGCGATACGACCTGGGAGAGGTAATACGGACGAAAAATGCGGAGTCGGATGTTCAGAACGGTTAGGAATGACTGATGATCTGGCTTGTAGGGAGCGGTCCAACACTCCAAGCAAAGCGTTGCTCTCGGTAGATAGTTTTGGGTGAGATATACACGAGCGAACTCGACAATCCGCGCTCATTTGCACTTGTTGGGCATCCATATTCCGCAGTAAAATCCGAACAGCTTCGAGAACGTTGGTGCGGTTTCTTTCGATGGACTTGGAGGTAGGAGCTTCATTGATCCGCGCAAGAATCTTCGTTGTTTTATGGTGTAGATCGCGCAATTCAATTACGGACTCGGCAACGTCGACAAGCATCACCACTGCTAAAGTTGTCGGCGCTAGTCGTTGCATAAACGTAGCCAAGTAAAACGAGTCGAACACATCGACGGTGAGTACGACTTGTTTGGGGATCATGTCTTCCTCGTGGGACGCAGCCGAGCGAAAAACCCTCTTCATCACGAGCTTAATCACGGACAACATTAAAATGACTGGGAGCTCGTAAGGCGTGTTGTTGACGTTCGTAAACAAAACTTGGTAGAGCGGATACCCGGCGCACATCAAAGTTTCCAGCGTGGCGACATTATTTAACCGGCGAAGTTCCTCCTTCCGCGAAGCTATGTGCCGAAACGCAGGCCCTCCAGCGATAACCCGCATTAATCCAATGAGCACCGCGGATAAAACGAGGGATAATGTCATAAGAAAGAACGGAATCGGGAAAACCCAGACCTCGGCTACGATTATCCCGCCAGCTACGAGTCCAATCCCCGAGAAGAAGCTGTAGATCGCGATCTGTCTGGTTGTGAAGCTCGGGACGCTCAGCCACGGAGGAATTTGAGTGATCACCTCATGACCGTTTGCGATTCCTAGCACGCCGGCACGCACCCAAAACCCCCAATTGGCCAACCCGCCTTCGGTCGGATCTTGAAGCGGAACGACCTCCTGGCAAAGCAGAACTGCAGCGGTGAAAATGGGCGGACTCATCACCACCAGTACCACATGAAAGAATGTGGTGTTTCGAGAGTACTCCTCGAATGCCAACATCCGCTCGATCGAGTATTTGCCGCCATAATGAGCGAGCTGCAGTTTGTAGATTGCATCAGAAAGCTTTAACCAGGAGTCCATGAGAACTCGTCCAAGGCGAGCCGACATCGTGCTTGTGTGCTGGGGCGTGATGCTCTGACGTCCGGCTTGGTCCTCCTCAACTCTTTATGAAGCTGCAGTCGTCCACAATTCGTTGTAGGTTATATATACACTTTACCTTCAAAACCCCTCAAAAATAGCTAGTGCATTGTTTGGTTCTTTGCGAAAGTTACTAATAGATAATCAGCCCAAACAAGAAAATACCAGGCACTCGTCTTCCTTGAAGTCGTCGTCCGTCTTGTGATGTCAACGAAGGTGGTGCCATTACCAGTGCGGGATACGGCGAGTTCCTGGGCGACTTTCACGGCGCGGGTGAAAAGGCTGCTAGCTCTTTGGAATGCAACACAACTCTCGCACTATGGAGGAAAATACTCGATCGAGAGGATGCTCGCGCTCGAAGAGTACAATGAAACTACATCTGTGGCTAGAGTTGTGCTCGTGACCGTTAGCCTCCCACTTGCTGTGTTCGTTGTGATAATGTGCCAAGAAGTTGTCCCGCTTCAAGACCCAAAAGAAGGTTGGAAAGCAAATTATGGATTTTGGATGCGCGTGGGTTTTGTTGGTGTTGCAGCCTCATACGCCGTCATCACAAGTCGGGCTTTGGTTGAACATTCGATAGGCAACCCGGAGCGTTGCTCCGGGAGGGTACACAGGTGAACGAATAGTTTCATGGACGATGATAACGGATAATAATTGAGTAAATCCCAAAGTTGTTTCGTTTTTAATCCTTAAAAGCACTACCAGCCCAACTCTCTACGCATTCGTGCGGCCTACTTCAATCAAATCCGAAAGTCGCAAAATTCATATTGCAAATTTCAAGTTAGCAACTTCAATTACGCATTCAAAGATGGAATTACGGCAATCAAAGTTGGACCAGAGGTCCAAGATCTCCATGGCTACGTAAGTTGTGCTGTGCTCGCGCCAAAAGCAAGGGCGCGCGGTTTGGCGCGCACTACAGCCGACGCCGACCGCGGGGAGCTCACTTCGCAATTCGCCTTCTTCTTCGCAGATGTTCCTCCAAGGCCGCGTTACTCGCCACACCGTCCTCGAGAAGCAGCGTCCTAAAATCCCGCATTAAGCGAGACGTGGCTCTGGATCGCCACGCAATCTACGATCGCTCGCGTGAGCCAGACAGCAACGGTGAGATCCTCTCCATTTCGGAACGCCAGATGCACATCCTGGAGCGCGCCGCGACCGCTAACATGAACGTGATGACCCCAGCGCTGGTAGCCAGCATGGAGCTGCACTGTCGCGACTTCGTCACCAAGGCGGCGAACAACGAGGACATGGTGTACGGCATGTAACAGGGCTCGTCGGACCAGTAGTAGTAGTAGCCTACTGTACGAATTTGATTGCCGTAATTCCATCTTTGAATGCGTAATTGAAGTTGCTAACTTGAAATTTGCAATATGAATTTTGCGACTTTCGGATTTGATTGCACGTTGGTACGAAGTAGGCCGCACAAAGGTGTAGTTGATTCTAACGTGGGCATCTACTGCGCCTGCTTCGCAGCCGCAGCATCTGCCCGAGAATGCGTAACTGAACAAATAGCTGCGCACATCGAAGTGTATCGACACGGAAATGATGTTTCAGCCAAACCTTTGTGAGGCTGGTAACCAGCAAGCCCGGCTCTTCTTTATCGTGGTGGGTTCTCAGGAACCGAAAGTCACCAATTGAGGTTGCCTGGTCTGATAAGGCCATCGGTGGCATAACACCCTGGTCAGCGTCCAATGGCTGCGTTGGCGCCAGCAACGAGAGAGCTATTTCATTCATTTTGCAAGTAAGGTATACTGTGCTCATTTTTGTACTATGTTGTGTGCTAACGATCAGACGAGAGAACTACAGTAGCGGAACGAAGGAGAGGCGCATGGTGCGCTGATCTTGACCATTTAACTTGAGGATGTTAGCTAAGTGACAATAATGATCCTCAATTCAAAAACAAAACAAACAAACAAACTTTTAACTTGAGGGCTTGGGGATAAATTGCGGAATGAGATATACGCTAATGGGCCAATTCCTTGGAAGTGGGTGCTTCAACGCAGGGAAAAAAGTCTTGTTCAAACGAACGATGCTCGTGTCACTGTCGAGTTGAGCTGATTGGTTTGGCGACAGACACGATGTTGGGCATCTTCCGCTAAGAGTGATTGGGTATTGAGCAAATTGACATGAAAAAAAATGCAGCCTGCAGCTAGTCAAGTCATGTTGTTCATCTTCAGCTAAGCTTGGTCGATTATGGCGCAAGTTGATTCGCCTTCAGCGAAGCCATGACGCTCTCATACTGTACTAGAGCGTCCGCAAGTGTTTGAATGCAGGTTTTGGTCAATAATAAACGATTAACATCAACCTTTGGTAAATAATGTGCATAAATCTTAGTATTTATCGACGAGTACCCGAATTCCGGCAGATATTAGCTTAAACATTACAATTAAGAAAGAGAGACCCGGTTTGGTACTCGGTTTTGGAAAGTTACAAGTTTTTTGCCGGGGCCAAGCACAGGTCTTCGACCTGTGAATTGCTATCCGGAAGGCAGTCGATAGCGTACCATGTTTACTCTGGTATGGCTTTCGTCGCTATCGGGGGAACAGCAGCGGCGGTGTCGGTGTTTCCAGTACCATTCTTTATTTTGGCGACTTCTGGGGTGTTGTTGCTGTTCTTGGGTGTCGGCTTGCGCGTTGTGTTGGGAGCCGAAGCGTGGAGAATTATGTGTTCCCAGCGGAGAAATACAAGACAATTTTGTAAGGTTATCGTGCTTGAAGGCTCGGTATGTGCTGGCTACCCCGTATACCAAGTGTTTTTCACCAAGGCAAACCACACCTTGTACGAGTTACTAGTGTTGCTCGTACTTCCCGTGCTGAAGTTTATCATCAAGCTGGTTTCTATATCCGCGGCGATCCACAAGGAGGAGATGATGCCCGAACACGTTGTGTTTACAGTCAACGTTTTCGACATTCTGTACCTCGCGACGTTCATGCAGACGATTTCTTCTACAACAATTACCGTGATAATGGCGATCGATTCCGTCCATTCGGTAATGTCGGTGATTTCTCTCCATAAGCGAACGCAAAATATTTCCGACAGGCTTCGAGAGGTGTTGGGTGCAGATATTCCTCCCACCCGCTTCGACTTGCTCGAGGCAGTTGAATTACTTTGTAATCATCCTCAGAAATTGTACAAGCAAATGCACCCAGAAATTCGTGTTAGGGCCTGCGTGTCTTACGAATTGTCGGCTACGCACAAATGTTTACTGGAAACAATTGAAAAACATCTCGTGTACAGCTCGTCCTACCAGAAATATCTCGTTCTATTACCCGCTACATCATCATTCCAGCCTGCGGTGGGAGCTGCGTGGGCTAAGCGCAACACCACGACGTCGGTCCAACCCCCATCCAATAGGTGGCAGCTTACACACTCCACTACAGTCTCATTCGCTACAAAAATTGCACCGGAGAATGCTGACGAGTCAACGATCGGGGTTCTACATGAAGCGCTAGAGGCTCTTTTTACCTCGGAGTGCCTCGTTTTGGCAGAGTATGTGGAGTTTGTGGTGCCACTCCTGTATGCAGTGTTTGTGCTGACGATGGTTCACTTGCCGAGTGCTCAGTACCATTCCGAGATGGCGGGGGTTACTGTGGACAACGTGGGTAGAGCAGTGTCGGGAATTCTTGCGTACGCCATGCTGGAGTCTGCATCGTTCATCCTCCTTGTAGCCATCACTAGGCGACACTGTGGTATACGCGCACTATACCAACTGGCCTTTGTTCTGGAAACCCAATGGTCCTTGGTCTTGTCCAAGATTGTTCTGTGGATGCTGTTTACGCTCGCGTTTCGCATTGTGCACTTCGGTAAGTTCGTGCCACGACGAAGAAGTTGGTTTTGGCTGAACCGCTTTTGATCATAGATCTTTCACCCATTTTGCGTCTACTTGTGTGCTTTCCTGGGGCTGATTTCTCCTTTCGTTTTCGATGGATCTACCCTTACAACTAAGCATCACAGCTCAGCATTAGTACTGTACTTCAGTATGAATCAACCAACACGAACATAAACTACTTCAGTATGTTTTAGTAGCGGTTTACCATTGGTTAGTTATGAGGGCTACAGAAAACGGTAGTTGTTCGGAAGAAGTTAGTGCATCATGGTACTGGTCTCTCAGTTGTGGTGATGGATCCACTGGAAACGAAAACTAAAGTCAGCTCCTGACACCACAGACACAGACACGAATATAAGCTGTTGAAGGAATGTCCACAACGAACTAGTATCACTTACCGAAGTGCACAACACGATACGTTAGCTTTAACAGCGTCCAAAGGATAACCTTAGAGAATACCAACGACCATTGCGTCTCCAACACAAATGCCAGTTGGTACAATGCGCGGATACCACAGTTTCGCTTCGTGATAACAGCCAGTGCAGCGAAAGATGCAAATTCCAGCAGTGCATAAGCACATATTCCAGACACAGATCTGTTCACATTGTACACGGTAATACCCGCCATCTCCGAGTGATATCGGACACTGGATAGGTTAACCATCGTTAGCACAAACGCTGCATAAAGGAGAGGCACAGTAAATTCCACGTATTCGGTCAGAACGAGGCATTCTGAGGTGAAAAGTGCCTCCAGCGCTTCGTGAAGGACCAACCCATTTGCTTGTCCAGCAGCTTTCGCCTTTTCAGGCGCAATTCCTGCAACTAGAGTCACCGTCTTCGAGTGTGTAAACGTTCGTTTACTCTTCACCCGGGGTTGGATTGCTGTCGTGGTCTTCCTTTTAGCTCGAGCTTGTGACAATTTTCCATGTGAAATCACGCGACACCGCTGATAGAAGGAGCTGTAAAGAATATGTTTCTCGAGTTTGTCCAGTAGTTCCCTACTTTCCGTGGACAAGTGATGATGCACACACGACCGGATGCGAATATCTCGGTGGATTTGGTTGTAGAATTTCTGTGGGCATTTGCAGAGTGTCCGGACAGAGTCGAGCACGTCGGCTATCGGGATATCGGCACCAAAAACCTCACGAAGATTGGACGCAATTTCTTGTGTTCGCTTGTGCAGAGAAAAAAGCGACATGGCTGAATGGATTAAATCTACGGCCATGACCACCGCCATCGTTGGGGGAGAAATCGTTTGCATGCACGTCACCAAGTACAAAGTGTCGAAAAAGTTGACAGTAAACACAACTTGTTCAGGAATCGCATCCTCCTTCTCCATGTGCACAGCATCAGCAGCACGGGTAATTCGTTGTTCGCCTTGGTGAACAGCACTTGGTAGAGCGGGTAGCCAGCACACATGGCTCCATTCATCACTGTAATTTTGTAGAATTGCAGCCATTTCTCACGCATGCACCCCCGAGCTTCAGTGTCCAGCACGAGACGCAAGATTACCGCTAGCACAAGCCCTGCCATCACCGACAGTGACAAGATGAAGAATGGCTCTGGGAGCACCGATACTGCAGTCAGAAACATTCCCATAGCGACGTAAGCGACACCAGAACCGATGCAGAACGCAATCTTCTGCTTCAAAGAGAGGGGAGGGGCGTCCAACAAAGGACCCATTTGTGTCGACACGGCGTACGAAGCAGCGATACCAATAAAGCTCACACGGACCCAGAAGCCATAGTTTGCTTGCCAACCTTCTCTCGGATCTTGAAGCGGAACGGATTCTTGGCAAATCGCCACAACAAACACAGCAGACGGAAGGCTAAGTATCACGAGGAGGATACGAGTCAAACACGTCGTTTGACTGTACTCCTCCAGTGCTAGCATGCGCTCGATGGAATACTTTCCGCCATAGTGTGAGAGCTGCGTTGCATGCCATGCATCCAATGCTTTGGTCAGCCACGCTGTGAAATTAAGGCGAAGACTTGAATCTGTCACTGCGTCACAAGGCACCTCTTTCGTTAGGATTGCCATGATTCGCGATGCCTTAGCACTTGAGCACTCGACGGTCGGACGAATAGTACTAAGCCTCGTCAATCACAGGTTGCGCTTCATTTCTATTATTACATTGTTGCTAATTACTGTAGGCCAGGAATAGTTGTACCTATTGAAATTTAAAGAAAATTTGGACAAGCAACAACATAAAAACTTTGTTAATAAACGGCAAAAAGTAAACACCAACACAATGTTAAACGCTCGCGCTTCAACCAACTGGTTGTGTGGTGGCGTTGAGGTTAGCGCCAAAGTTGCGGAGTATACATCCTCGTCATTGAAAATATGGATTTAAAACTGTCGTACAAGCAAGCGAGAAGACTCTTAAAGAATTACTTCAAGTAGGCTTAAGCAATTGGTTATTCAGTTGCTCTGCTTTTTTCTCGAGAAATTGAAAACTTAGAGTTTCTCGTTTTGGGTGATCTATTCAAACCTGAAAGAAAAATCAACACCTGTGGTATTCGAAGGCGTTAGTCTATTGTGCCCGGTGCATTACGAAAAAAAATATAAAATAAAAAAAAGAACATATAGGGCATTCGTACCGAAATGTTCCACGCGGTACGTCAATGTCAATATAGTCCAGAGAACTATGTAGTGTAGAAACCACTAAGGGCGCCTGCTGCTTGAGTACAAACGCCAGCTGATAGAACGCGTGAATCCCACAATTCCGTTTGGTGACTAGTGCAAGGACGACAAAAGAGCACATCTCCGTTGTCGCGTAGACGAATAATTTCGTCGTTATAGCGGTCACATTGTCAACGTTTACTTGATCCATCTCCGAGTGATACCGTGCGCTTGGTAAGTGAACCATTGCAGCTACGAACACGCCGTAAAAAGCGGGAATAATGACCTCGACATATTCTGTCAGAACAAGGCACTCGGACGTAAAGAAAACTTGTGACGCTTCCTCCAAAGTATTGAATAGTGTTTCATCTACGAGTGGCTGTTTGTTCTTTGCGGCCAGGCGATTGCCGGCTTCGGTTCGAGAACCTGACCCAAGGGATTGATGAGAGCACTCCGCAATGTGCCAATCATTCGTATTGGGCCCAATGTTGAGCAGCTCGACATATCGCTGAATCGACGAGAAGCAGCTTTAACGACCGCTTTTCGCTCGAGCGTTTCGAGTAGAGCGGCTCCTTCGGGAGTTAATTTATGGGGTTTACACGAAAGGACTTGATTGGCAGTCTGGAAGGATTCTAGCGCAGATAGGGAAAGGCAAAGGTTTCGTATTTTCTCAAGGAGATCCCCCCGGTGTCCAGAAATTTGGCCACTGTTGGTTTGAGCAAGACCGGCGAGGACGCGTTGCATTTTGGCGTGAATCTCTTGCACCTCGAGCCCCGTTTGTAGCAGATCAACCCCCATTATCGCTACCAGTGATATCGTCGACAGACTGTTCAAAAAGGTAGCAACGTAAAACGCGTTGTAGAAATCGACAGTGAATACCACTTGGGACGGTACGATTTCTTCCTTGTAGGTCGCAGATGCCGCAAAGACGAACTTCATCAGGAGTTTCAGCACCGGAAGTAGCAGAATCACAGGAAGTTCGTAGGGGGTGTTCTTTGTACGACCAAAGAGCACTTCATATACTGGATAAATGGCGTACATGAAGCCCTGAAGCATCGAAATCCGAGATGATCGACGCCATTGCTCTTTTCGTGAGAGAATCGTTCGAAACGCTCGAGGTCCAATGGTCACCCGCAGAGAAACCGCAAACACCAGTGGCACTACCACACTCACGGTATTGCTGTAAAACGGGACTGGAAAGCCCCAAAGCTCCGACACAACCATCCCAACAATGACGTAACCAAGTCCAATGCCAATAGAAAAAACTATCTTGTGACGTGGCGATAGCGCTGGTACTTCAAGCCATATCGCCATCATAACTGCTGCAGCGTTGCCGGCTACAATCCCCGTGACCTCCACGCGAATCCAAAAACCGTAATTCGCTTCCCACCCTGCCCCAGTCGGATACACTCTTGTACCAGAACAACAGCGACACGCAGCAGTGGTAGCCCTACGCTTGCACAGAATACGCGAAAGACTGACGTGCTCCGTGAATACTCTTCGAAAGCTACGTAGAATTCGCTCGAGGGAGTACTTGCCGCCGTATTGAGTCAGCTGGACGGCCAACCACGCCTTCGTATGCTTCTTCTACCACAGCTCAAGTCGAGCCCCGAGTCGCTCTCTTATCGCCGCCATCAGAAGCTTGGTTAGGAGTTGAATTCAATCTTCTCACGTAAGACTATAGAGCTCAGAATAGACGTGGGTTGGAAGAGCAGCGGTATTAATACTTAAACAGAAACTAAATACATGTCCACGCCTGCAGTCGCTGCCTCCCCCCATTCTACTACTTGACGCACTCTTCTCTCCACGCCGTCCACACGAACAGGATCAAGCCGGACGTTCTACATTATAGAGCTGGCCCGACATACAAGGTGGTGGGAGTCTACATGTAGCCATGTTTGTCTAGATCCAACTCCGTGTCCCACAGCACCGTAGCCTTCCATTACATCTTCCATGGCCACCATGAATGACAACCTCCACCCTCCTCGTCACTCTTGAACTCTCTCCGCCTCGACCATGGCGCCGCAGTTCACGACGCAAATCGGCGGGTCCATGACCTTCTCCGCCAGTCTGAGTGCGTCCATGATCGCGACCTCCAACGTGGCTGGCAGTCGGAACTACCGTCCTCTAGTGCCCGACATTCCAGCCGCCTCCACCCCGCACGGACCCCCCGCCCCCCTCATTCTCTCAGTGGCAGAAGCCGACGCCCTCGAGGACCTCGCCGACTTCGTCATGAAGGAGACTTTGAGCGAGTATCTGCACTTCCGAGACATCCGAAAGCGTCGACTCCACGATGAGCAGTGGAAGGAGGTGCGGCGGCAGGACAACCTCGTGGCTTTCAAGGAGCGCGAGTCGTGGCGTCAAGATCATCAGTCGCTGCGTACACCCGACAATTACATGGAACCGGTCATCTGCAAGACGTCGGTGCCCACTTTGCTGGTCCTCGGGGCCCTTCAGGGGACGCTGGACGACGAAATGTACGGCATGCACATCGACGGCGACAACGCGGCGAGATTGCGGTCGTCGTATATCCACGACCAAGTGAATGATTTTCGAGTACTCTCGAAGATCCGAGGGGCGACGAAGGAGGACCCATTTCGGTTCTGCGGGGTCACGTGGGCGGATTTGGGGAACTCGGGGTATGGGCCTTTCGCCAAGAAGCGCGACTATTGTGTCGTGACGTCCATGGGTGCGACGGAGACGGCTCGAGGGGAACGGGTTGGATACTACGTCGTGCACTCGGTGGACGTGAGCTCGAATGGTCCCATGGGCAGGACCACGCAGCTCGGACTTGGAACCGGAGGAAATTCCAGTGCGACCACCAAATACACGCGCGCGAAAGGGTCCATGTGCTGGCTCAAGTGTGAACTGCCGAATGGAGGCGTGGAGCTCTATATGCAAGGCTTCTTCGCCCCCATGGGCAGCGTTCCTGAGTTTGCAGTGGTGAATGCAGCTCTTCATGCGGCGTTGGGACTCGCCCAGACGAGTGATACGTCGTACTCGAAAAAGATCCGTTGGATGCTGCACGACTCGGTGCGATCGACACGAAGGTACGTGGGGGATTTTGTAGTGGGAGTTTGTACTAGAGAGAGCTAACGCGTGTGTGCTGCTTTGCGTGTTAGGCCGATATCGGGAAGTGACGAGTGTGTGGGGCGATGCAAGTCCCATTTCGGTGTAGCCAAGAAGCGGAAGCTTGGTTGTTGCATCGTCTGCAGAGCGGTAAGTTTATGGTGGTCATGTCGAATTTTTGGCAACGTGTGTGTTATGTTATCGACGTCTTATGTGCATGTTCGTTGTGGGTTTGTGCTTTTGCAGTTGGTCTGCCTCTCGTGCCGGACGAAACGAAAGGTGACGGTGGACGTGGCGGCCGACAACGTGGTCCAGCAGACGCGCTGCAGCATTTGCTTCGTGTGCATGGGCTTCGCCAAGCAGACGAACGCCGCGGTGTTTGCCGCCAGGGAGATGGCCCAGGCACGCGCGCGCAGCAACCGAGCGCTCAGCGCGGAGACGGCCGAGTATATTCTATGAACACGGGGGATAAGACGCTCTTATCGCTGTGTCGATGAGCGACAATGTTTAGTACGGATACTTTTCGAGTAAAAATGTATTTTCGTTGAAAGACTCTTATCAAAGGGTTTTGTGTGAAGTAAGGCGTAGAGGAGGCTGTGGACGAGTGGGGTGCAAGCTTTGTGGTATACTGTCATGTTGGCAGCACAGGCTGCAACGCATTGCGTGGCGGGAGCGTAATCGTCAAGAGTGAGAGAAGAATCTCTCATTTTGCAAGTTACGAAGTAATGTGCTGCTTTGCCCCTGCGTGTGGACTTACACCTGGCTGGGTGATCCAAACTTCAACTTCGTACATGTAGGAGTAGCTTGGGGAATTCCTCCACCACGAACGAACGCTGCAGGGCTGCACTTACGATGGTGGGCAAAGAGTGTTGCCTCTTTATCCACGAAAGCTGCGGCTTTGGAGGCGTCGAAGCGGTTGCCGTCCCACTTCGCCCGCGATCATTCAGGATTTCCACCGCTCCGCAGATCCAGGTGGCCGAGGATACAACCTGCACTCGCTTGTCAAAATCGCGTCAAGCGTACAGTAGTGGCGGTCTGATTTCAATCCAGTTTCGTGTCAAGTGTGGGCTCCGCGTTGATAAACCTTCTATAATATATCTCTCTACTAACGCGATTTAACATATATCTACTTTGTTCATGTTTTGTACTTTGATAAACTTGTATAATCCTGTAACCCGTTATTTCCAACAAGTCCATTTCAGCAGGGTTTGCCAGCGTTCGTGCTCTATGATCACGATCCCGTGTCTAAGACGAACGCGAAATCACCGCGTCTTTCCTTCGGCCGCCGCCTTATCCTGCGGTTAAAGGTTGGCTAGCGGTGCCAGTCAAGCTCTGGAGACAGGCCGGAGAGGAGTTCGGAGTCGAACGAACTTCACTTAGACGCGTGGCACAGCATCGCCTCGGCCATCGGTCCAACGAGCCCCCAACCTGCCAGCTCACTTCGCCTTTTGCTGACTTCGAACCACTCTACAGTCGGGACCTCGAGACATCATGAGCAGTAGCACGACTTCCTCGGAACGGGCTACGCGTTCTACCTGTTCCCAGGAGCGACTCTACCTCTCGCAGGAAGAAGCGCGTCGCCTCGAAGACCTCGCGGACCAGGTGGTGCTGGACACCATCGAGTTCTACGACAGGTTCCGGTTCGTCGAGCAGCGCGTGGTGAACCCCGAGGCCTGGAAGAGCGTGGGCCACCGCGACAACCTCGTCGTCTATCGCGAGCGTTCGGGCCCACGTCCGACATATCCGTCCATCCGGTCGCTGGACGGGAGTCTGCAGCTGGTCCCGTGCAAGGCGGCGCCGTCCGTGAAGATCGTCGGGATGCTGCAGGGGACGCTGGACGACGAGATGTATGGGTCCTTCGCGGACAGTGACGACTCGGTCAAGATGCGCTCGACGTTCGTGGGGGACGCTATGGAGAACTTCCATCTGTTGGCGACGATCGCGGAACCCAGTGAGGAGGACCCTTTTCGCTTCTGTGGAGTGGCACGTTGTACATTGGGGAAGAGCGTCCCACTCGCCAAGACGAGAGATGGGTTAGTCATTATCTCTATGGGGATGACAACCACGCAGCATGGAGAGCGCATGGGTTACTACGTCATCCACTCAGTGGATCTGTCCGAGCCTGCGACCAACCGCCACTACATCCGAGCGAAATGCTCGCTCTGCTGGCTCAAGACGGAGCTGCCCAATGGTAAAGTGGAGCTGTATATGAAGGGGTTCGCAGCGCCGATGGGGAGTATCCCCGAGTTCGCGGCTTTCCCGGTGCTGGTGAACTGTGTGCTCGGAGTCGGGATGACTAGCGACGCCGCGTACTCGAAGAAACTGGCCTGGATGATCCGAGACGCCAACAAGTCCGCCAGTCGGCACGCCGCTCCGTCACTGGACGAGTGTGTTGGACGGTGTAAGAACGCGTTCGGTGGACCGAAGAACAGCGCGAACTTCAGGCGGTGCATCGTGTGTCGCAAGGCAGTGTGCAGCACGTGTCAAGTTGTGCGGAAGATCCCCGTGGACGTTGTGGATGGTCGCGTTAACGTGAACAAATGCAGTCTGTGTATCTTGTGCATGCACCGAGCGAAGACGTTAAACCCCATGGCGTTTGCAAGACGCGATCAGCGCTGGAAGAGGTGGAAGAGTCTGGACGCAGGCAGAAGCTCTATTACCAGCAGCAGCGAGAGGGAATACGCACTCACTGCGGCTGCTGAGAGAACGTTCTACGAGACGCGCTAGGTGTGGACATGTGTGTCACTAGATTTCGTCCAGCAGTATGAGAACAGTGCAACCAAATAAAACCAAGTTTAGTTTGTCCTATTATAGCTTTATTCTGTCTGTGAGCTGACCGGCGCGGTCTTGCTTGTACTTCGTGGATCGATTCAGTTTGTCCCAACTTTCCAATGACAGTAAGAGCGCGAGTTCATGGCACTCTTCACCGCTGGTGGGTGGAGCTCACGAAGGCGTGGTTTGCAGTCCAGCTCACCCAATACGGCGGCAAGTACTCAATCGAGCGAATGCTAGCTTTCGAAGAGTATACTCGGAATGCGTCAGTCTTCCGAGCTGCCTTGGGCTACCACTTCTGCTCGGCGCCGTGGTTCTGTTGCAAGAGTGTGTCCCGCTGCAAATTCCAGCAGCAGGGTGGGGGGTAAACTAGGGTGTCATGGGGATGGTAATTGGCAACGCTAGGGCAGTTATCGTCACAATATGGCTAGAAGTACCAGCTCTATCGTCACAACAGAAATTGTTTTTTTTTTCTACTAGCGTCGGCGTCGGCTACATCGTCGTGAGGATGGTTCTGTCGGAAATGTGGGTGTTTCCGATCCCGTTTTATTTTAACACCGTTAGTATGGTACTACCGTGGATGTTTGCTGCATCTCTGCGGGTGGTCATCCATCGGCCCTCAAGCGTTCCGAACAATCCTGTCACGAAAAGAGCAATGGCGTCGACTCGGTCGGATCGCGATGATTCTGGGGTTCCTGTACGGCATCTATCCAGTATACGAAGTGCTCTTTGGCCGTGCAAAGAACACTTCCTACGAGCTTCCTGTGATTCTGCTACTTCCAGCTCTGAAGCTCCTGATGAAGTTCGCATTTGCGATTTGTGCAGCCAACAAAGAAGACATCGTGCCATCTCAAGTGATATTTACTGTCGAGTTTTACAACACGTTTTATTACATGGCTACCTTTTTGCACAGCCTGTCGACAACATCACTGGTAACGATAATGGGGATTGATCTGCTACAAACGGCAATCGAGTTGCGAGATGTCCATGCCAAAATGCAACGCGTGCTACGTTGTCTTACATGGACCAAACTGCTGGACCCCGCGCCAATCTCCTCGCGCAAATTCGAAACCTTTGCATTTCCCTATCAGCGCTAGAACGCTTCAAGACTGCCAATCAAGTTCGTTCGTGTCAACCGCACAAATTAACTCCCGAAGGAGCCGCATTACTCCAAACGCTCGAGAGAAAAGCGATCGGTGAAGCGAGGTAGTAATCCGTCACAATACTCGACATTGGGCCTAGCAGCACGAACGATGGGCACATTGCGAAGTGCTGCCATCAATCCCTTGGGTCAGGATATAGTACCGGAGCCTGCCGTTGCCTGGCCGCAAAAAACAAACAGCCGCTCGTCAGATCCAACTCTGTTCAAGACTTTGGACGAAGCGTTACAAGTGCTCTTTACGTCGTAGTGCCTTGTTCTGACGGAATATGTCGAGATCATCATACCAGCCTTTTACGGCGTTTTCGTAGCTGCAATGGTTCACTTACCGAGCGCGCGGTATCACTCGGAAATGGATGAGGTAAACATTGACAATGTGACCGCTATAGCGACGAAATTATTCCTCAACGCGGCGTTGGAGATGTGTTCTTTTGTCGTCCTCGCAGTAGTCACCAAACGGAATAGTGGGATTTACGCACTGTATCAACCGGCGTTTGTTATCGAGCAAGAGGCGCCCGTACTGACATTGACATACCGCGTTGAACATTTCGGTACGAATGACTAATATATATGCCTACCGTACTTTATCGATAAACTAATGATTGTCTTCACAAACCCCAGGTGTTGATTTTTCCTTCCAGTTCGAATGGATCAACTAAAGCAAGAAAATCCAAACACTTGATTTGTCAAAGATTATTTGTGTCTCGCTGGGCTTTGGGAAAAAGAGACCCCCTCGCCAAGACGAGAGATGGGTTAGTCATTATCTCTATGGGGATGACAACCACGCAGCATGGAGAGCGCATGGGTTACTACGTCATCCACTCAGTGGATCTGTCCGAGCCTGCGACCAACCGCCACTACATCCGAGCGAAATGCTCGCTCTGCTGGCTCAAGACGGAGCTGCCCAATGGTAAAGTGGAGCTGTATATGAAGGGGTTCGCAGCGCCGATGGGGAGTATCCCCGAGTTCGCGGCTTTCCCGGTGCTGGTGAACTGTGTGCTCGGAGTCGGGATGACTAGCGACGCCGCGTACTCGAAGAAACTGGCCTGGATGATCCGAGACGCCAACAAGTCCGCCAGTCGGCACGCCGCTCCGTCACTGGACGAGTGTGTTGGACGGTGTAAGAACGCGTTCGGTGGACCGAAGAACAGCGCGAACTTCAGGCGGTGCATCGTGTGTCGCAAGGCAGTGTGCAGCACGTGTCAAGTTGTGCGGAAGATCCCCGTGGACGTTGTGGATGGTCGCGTTAACGTGAACAAATGCAGTCTGTGTATCTTGTGCATGCACCGAGCGAAGACGTTAAACCCCATGGCGTTTGCAAGACGCGATCAGCGCTGGAAGAGGTGGAAGAGTCTGGACGCAGGCAGAAGCTCTATTACCAGCAGCAGCGAGAGAGAAAACGCACTCACTGCGGCTACGGAGAGAGCATCCTACGCGATGCGCTAGGTGTTTACTTAAATGTGGGTTTCTTCCGAGTGAGGTCCAGTCCAACCAAATAAACATGATTATATATTCTCATTTTATAGCAGCGGAGTCACCAATACATGTAGTGTGGCATTCACCTACTTCGAAGAACTACAATGTTGTAGTTTTTGATACCTCATTGCCTGATTCCTCATATCTTGAAAAACGAAGAGAACTCCGTCACTCTAGTTTTAAAAGCCTAAACTTAGACCATGTCTGTTACGGGATCTGCCAACGTGGGGCACAGCTCATCTTGACCAATATATTATTTCCAAGGATCATCTCAGTGGGGCTAAGCAATAGTGTATTGCCTCGTTGCCTGGGAGTGGCGTGGAGGCGCCCCACATTGAATCTCTCCACGTCGATCACTGGCAGCGTTCACGACCACTGCAACTTCGCGTTCATCAACTTGAACGACCCAGTAGTACCTTACGGCATCTCTTCATGTCGATTACCGGCACATCAACTTGGACAATCCAGCCGTGCCTTCCGAGGTTAGAACGGGATGCACCAGCATTCAGCAGCTTGGTTGCACCGCCGATCCGCACAGAGTGAGTTGAGAATCGAGAAGCATCGAGACCGGCCTTGGTAGCTGCTGCCTTGATTATCTTAGCGACTTGGCCGGATGACACACCGCCGGAATCGCCCATCTTGAGGGCTGGTTCATCAGGCCTTGTTCCTAGTCGTTTTGCCGCCGTCTTGATCCAGCGTGCAGCTCGCACGGGGCACAGCAAAGAGTCCCCCGAGGCGTGTTGAAATCGAAACTCTTCTCTTCCAAACTGATTATTCTTCGCTCCCCGCAGTAGGATACCCACGATCGAAGCCTTCCGCGGCTTAATGGCCTGCCCTTCATTATCGCAAAACTGAATGTCGCTGAGTCGAAGTACGAAGGGGTGAAACTTCTTGCCGATGTAGAGGTACTCTGACCGACGCAGCAAAAAGAAGTACGCGAGCAGTAAACCACCCCACAGGAGCTGATGCTTAGGTCGGTTGATATCCAACAGAGTGTAGATTTGCCGAAGTAAGCTCGGCGACAGCGGTTGCTGCTTGACAACCGGATTCGTGAAACGACGAATGCCGCGCAGGAGTAAGGCATGCTGAGCAGTAACTCCAGGGTCATATCCATGTTCGAAACGATGCCGCCAACGCACGGCGCACAGCTTCGCACATATAGTGCCGTTCGAGTTGCCTTGTTCCCGGCGGTTCATCCCGAATTCCCAAAGGTACACGGCGAATCCACCAAGTTGGGCGGTGGACGCAGACGTTGCATCGCGAGGGAGCCACGGAGAGTAGTTCATAAATTCACACCATGACAGCCTCTGCTTCCAAGCGCGGGAGTAGGCAACACGCGACGACTCGGCTAAAGCTCCCGCGCGGAGCAGCGCTCCCAGACCTGCGAGAGTTTCCGCAAGCTCGGCGGGACATGAACCTGCGTCCAACCAGAGCACATATTAGTAAATTGCCGAAACTTGGTCGTCGAGTCCCAAACACGGCTGCCGGCGTCCGCCATCACGTTCTCCACACCAGGAATGTGAGCAGCAGAAACGTAGAAGTGGTGGCGAGCTTCATGTAGAGCGAGAACCCGAAGCAGAAGCTGGGCGAACGGGTTTCGGGATGCCCTCTTGTTGTTCCAGGCCACAGCCGAGGCATTGTCGATCCACAGCAGGACATGCACGTCGTGGTCGTCGGTAGCCTGCGCCCAAAGACGTCCCCAAATGAGTGCAGCGTAAACTGCGCTCATCAGCTCGCGCGTGTTGATGCCAAAGGCGCTGGGGCGTCCTGCCTTGAGATCCCGAATAGATGAAAGCTCGTCTTCATCAAAGCGGACATGGTTTTAGAGATCTTAGATTTTGCTGTCGCTTTGTGAAGAAGCAGATCTTATCAGGACTCTTGATCGATGAAAATGATGATGAAGAAAAACTAGCATCATTTCTATCCTTTAGACAAAAAATAGGACCCATTTTAAAGAAGGGCTGAAGATGTTAAGTTTGTCATTCTATTCGATAGATGTATTCAACAACTTAGTTTCCACCCAAAAAAGAGATAACATGTCGTTCGAACTCACATTTGGAAAGTACAAGAACAAACCAATTGAGGAAGTATATGCTTCTGACCCTGGCTATTGTCGTTGGATGCACAACCAACCCAGTCTTAACATTAGTGCGGATATCAAGATATTCCTACACAGCAAGTTCCTAAATAATGATAATTCATATATGATGACTTGGGGCAAGTACAAGGGTAAGAGTCTGAAACAGATCAGTCGTATGGATCCGAACTACATCGACTGGCTTCGTAAAAGTGAATTCGTGATTGAGAAATGCCCAAAGCTACTCAAGGAACTTAACTAAAGAAAAAAAAATTTTGTTTCAATAAGTCGTATTTCGAACTTAAGCTGTGGTATAATCGATAATTTCACCCGTTAGGCGATCGAAGCTAAGCTCCTGTTCGCTAATAACGAGGACCAGCGTATTCACACCTTGGCATCCTGCGTTCGTACCCTGGATCTGAATCGCTTGGGGTACATCGCGCTCAGTCAGGCGACTGACGTCGGCAATAAGCATGCGGTTTGTGAGCGACCACGTCTGATAGTCAAGTAGTCCATTTACGAGCTCAGGGGTTAGATCTCCATTAATCGCTGAAATCTTAGCAATTTCGTTGGTAAAATGGTGGAAATCATAGTCATGACTGATATCGAACACCTGAGTCGAGCCAATACGAACGTTAAAGTTGCGAATCGACGACCCGGGCTGTAGAGTGTATGGAGCGCTATCGAAGGGGCTCTGGAACTGCTGAACAGTAGCAGAAGCAAAGTTGTTTGTCTGTTCCGCAAATGGAAGAAGAACTACGTACTTAGCATTCTTAACACTTGCCGATAGCTGTAGATCGAAAGAAGCATTTAGTTGAGATGAGGACTTACCAATGCCGGCGCGCTGGTAAAACCACTGAGCGTAGCAATCGTTGTTGTGTACCTTCTTGACAGGTTTGCTGATGATAGCTTGAGGGTTCTCAAGATGCACGAAAGGAACATACAAACGCGCCGTAGTGAAAGGCATTTACGTACCATCGATGGTAGGTTCAAGAGTATTAACAACAGCTCCCCAAGCAACACTAAATCCAGCAGATGCGGCAAGCACACCACTCATCGGATTACCGGTAGCAGAAGCGGCAATCATGACCGGACAACTATTACCAGACGATAGAGTAGTAGAGGTTAGCGACATACCCTTTGAAGCATCTACCGCGACTACAGACGTTCCCTGATTCACGCGGAAACGCAGGCGAATTTGAGGGTTAGCCATCAAGTCAAGCTCACGGAAGATAGGATGCAGATCGGTGAGTTTAATTTTAAGCATGTAGTTCCACGTCCCCATGATTGCGTTAGCAGCAGTACCACCAGCTACGAAAGCTCCACGCGAGGTCTGGTTAGAAATGGTAGTCGATGCAGCAGCACCACCTACCGACGGCCACGAGCTGGAGAAGTCAGCGCCAGCCGTAGGAGGATTCGATAGAAGGCGCTTAACGAAACCATCACTAGGAATAGTTGCACCACCAGGAGGAGCCAAGACAGCAAAGGAAGACGAGAATGCCATGGTGTTTGAATATCCATCACCACTGGTAGATGCGGATCCAGAACTGTATGATACCGGCTGAGCAGCGTCAGGGTACAAGAACGATTCAGCTCCGCGCTTTTCAACGTACTGAGGGCTGTAGCCAGTCTGAGCACGAACGTTATTCCAAAAGAGCTTGTAGTCAGCCATAGAGACGATAGTCTTTCCATTGAGTTCCAGACTCAGACTATCAATAACGTTCCAATTTCCGCATTTTAGAGTAGCACATAGACGATTCGCAGCGGCAGTTTGAGCAGTGCCACCATTCTTCATTGAGGCCTTGTAGGGAAGCATAATGTAGGCATCACGGAGGCTTGCGAAGCCCTCGGAACCGTTAAGCTGAGCTGTAGCATCGATAGTGATGACACCATTCTGGTACGAGCCCTAATTTAGGTCAATAACGTGCGGTACACGCTTGCTCGAAGATACCTTGATCTCCGGGTCGCTCTTAAGCGAGCTCTGGTACAAGTACTGATCGGATAGTTGAGTTTCGCTCATCGTTGAATCTATATGGATCCAAATATAGTTTGATAAAATTAAATATTATGTCGCACCTCATCAAGCCAATCACCTCAGATCATGATCTCATCGAACTCGCTGAGAAAATGAAGGTTCAACTCGATAATATATTCGCATCAAATGAGATAAAGTCCCATCTCCCCAAGAAAGGGTCATTTCTAATTCTAACCGATGCGGTCGATGCTGGAGAGAAGTTCCTACTATCAAAGGCTACCAAGCCAGAACATGAGGATCTAATCAGATCTGTGCGAAAGGAGGTTCGTCGTCGTTATGGTGTAGGAGTAGCAAAGAAACGCCCAGCAAAGGGCTCGCCGGAGATGAAGGAACGAATGGCAAAGCTGCGTGCTATGGGTAAGAAGGGTAAGTCTGGCGGTTCATTTACGCTGTAAAAAAATACTCTGGATGGCTTATTTTTTTGGTCGAATCAGAAGCATGATGGATACTGATGTATCTCTAAAAATCACTTTTTTATCGTTTTGGTTATATATACTGAGAGTAATACTGGCTCGAGCGCCATTATGACAATTCATCCATGCATACTGGGAGGGTTTGTATGAAATGACCTTTCCAATAGCGGCATCGCCTCTATCAAAAGCGCTGACAATATCACCAGAAACTACGTATTCATTTTTAATCAGATCGCAACGAACGATGTAGGAACTGGTTGGGTGAATTTGAGGAATGATGTTCGATAGCTGAGCACTTGCAACAGTAGCTGATGTAGAGGGATAGGTGCCCACTGTGAGTCCAACTACTTTTTCAAATTCTGCATTATCGATGATCAATCGAGGAACTCGAGTGGTAGTCGGCAATCCAGTACCGCCAGCTGAGTATAAACCGGAGGTAGGTCTGGTCCATGTACCTCCAGTAGTTGGTAGAGTTGTAGGGGTAGGAGAGAAATCAAGCTGGCAAGCGTAATAGACACTGTTAGCACTCATCTTGATATAGAACACATTATTCCCAGACGGATCGATGAGATACGCTCCAGCGTTGACAAGAGAAGTCTGAATGCTTCGATTGATATCGTCATACGAATAGATACCATCGGGGAGGGATACACTGATTGTGGATACAGTTCCAGCGGTAGGTACTTCGATTTTGAACGTCGTGTTCTGAAACTGCATTGAATCAATGTTATACTCACTGTTATACATCGAAATAGACTGAATTGCGCAAACTACATCACGGAAGCCAGCCGCGGATCCGGGAAAGGAGTATTTCCAGGTTGAATTGGTACCATCTTGTACCAGATTGGTACTATCGAGTTTGATAAAGCTGGACATATCGATTATATGTTTGTAGGCATATTTTGTTTGATAAATTGGAATTAGTCCTCGATACGAATCGGTCTATCGAAGTTATACCTGATCTGTCCCTTGACTGAGTCAATGAAGAGCATTTGCCCCTTCCGCTCAGTTGCCTTGTTGTAGTAATAGACGATCGAACGATCATCTACACCCTTGATATTGAAGTCTTTAACGACCATCTGCAAATCTCGCTTTGAATTAGCCTTTAGTATCGCTACGTACTCTGAATTCAAGCGAATCATCTTGTCCGTTGCAAAGTAGCTGTGGCTCAAGAAGATGGTTGATAGCTTAACATGTCTCCCTCTTGTGAAGTAATGACTGAACAAATTCTTCTGAAGTAGCTTGTCATTGCTGTAGTCATCGATGATGACGAGCTCAGGCTTATTGGAATTAATTGGCGTATGCCGTACCCGATCAACACTCGGAGGCGAGTCAGGGTCGGCGAATGTGATAAACCCATCAAGCTTATCACGAAGATACTCATACAACTCCTGGTGAGGATTACGAGCAATGATCGTTAGATGAGCAAATACGTGAGGAGAATGCTTGAGGATGAACATACATAAGTTGTTCTTCCCTGAGAACGATGGACCCAGAACCACCATTCTAAACAGCGCTTTGATGTCAAGTGTTGGAATATCACCCATAGAGGCGCTTTTGAATTTTTTAGGGATTGAAGCTCCGAAATCTGGAATACCGCTCATGATTATCGTCTAAACTATATAGGATCAAACAAAGATGAGTTCAGGTTTTTCTTATCCTAACCCGATATCACATCCTCAATTTATAACCCTGCATTTTATCTTCAATTGGATGCCAGCGGTTTTCTCACGTATGACTATGCTCAGACTCTTTATCTGAACAAGTATGACTATCGCTTGTCATACATCACTGGTGTCTCTCAAGGCGTAGCATCACCTGGTGTAGCGCTTGTCCCTGGAAGTGGTGGGGACATCAGCGGTCTTGGAGCACTTAGCTGTAGTAGTCTGACTGTTAATGGTGCTTCCGTATCAGGTGCCCCATCGTACGTAGTTGGTATTACTCCAGGTCAGGCAGCGATTAACAAAGCCCTGGTGCTTGATGGATCCGTAAATATTGGTACGATTAGTAGCTTGGTGGCAACATCTATTACAGGCACGCTTCAAACAGCGGCTCAGCCAAACATTACTAGTCTAGGTACACTCTCATCGCTTACAGCGACGAGCATTACTGGGACGCTACAAACAGCTTCTCAGCCCAATATTACTAGTCTAGGAACACTTAGCAATCTAACCCTTAGCGCTGGTGGAACCGGACTTTACATTCCGAATCTGAAATTTTGGGATGGGGTCAGTGCTTGGACGAACTTCAACCATTCTTACTTTCTCAATGTTATCGAAGGAGGCGCTTCAGCCAGTAGCGTTGTGGTTCTCAATAGTACGAAAGATTACTCAGGCATTCGCGATCTTAGCATCACAAGAAGCTTTACCGCTTCGATATCTATATCAACTCCAACGCTGACATGCGATACTATTTCGAAAACTGGTACTCAAACTATGAATGCAACGACTCTGAATATCAATCCTACTACGCTTCAGATTAAGGGGACTACTCTCAATGCTACTGGTACGGAGCTGAACAAGCTTTCCGGTTGCACAGCAACTACGGCTGAGTTGAACTATCTGGATCTTACCTCCGGAGCAGGAACAGCAGAAGCATCAAAGGCTCTTGTACTAGACTCTAATAGTACCATTTCATCAGGTATCTCATCTCTAACGTCAACCAATCTGATATCCACTACTTCTACCCAATGTCAGATTGCGGCCGGAACATCATTCACTTCAACTACACGCGCTTCAGACTTCAATCTAATCATTCGCAACCAGAGCAATACTGTAAGTGCCCAAGTCGGGTTATCCTTTACGATTGAAGGAACATCAGATATGACTACTTATACCCCCTCTGTTAATCTATATTGTACTAGAACAGCTACTTCAGCTCAATATAGCAAGGCTGATTTTGCAATTAGTACTCGTAGCTCTTCTAACGCCTTATCCCCAATGACCGAACGCATGCGTATCACTCAAGCCGGATATATTCGCTTCGGATCAGCTACTAGTACTGCAAAGTAAGATATTACTTCTAGCGCGAATTTACTAAGCGGGTCTTGGCAACGCGCAATGCGTATTCTAAATGATCAGGCTACTCCTATCGAATTCGAGGTGCAAATATACAACGATGTCGCGGGAGGAGCTAACGGGGTAGCTCTTGGTACAACTACCACCGACCCTCTTCGATTTATGGTGAATAATACAACTAGAATGTATCTTAACAGTTCAGCACGTCTCGGGGTTGATTTAGGACCTAGTTGGTCTCCAGAAGCCACTATCCATTCTGGAGGCGAGGTCTGGGCTAACACATACATGAATATAAAAGGGAATGGCGATGGCTTTGCGAGATATCGGTTCAATTGAAGCCAGACTGACTATCCTGCGATAGGAACTGACGCAAAAATCGGGGCTATCCGTATTGGAAAGTGCGACGCTAATTATAATTGGACAGCATACGTACCAGTTCGTGGCGGTTCGTATACAAACGCTTCGGACGTGAGACTGAAGGCGGACATTGTAGACTGTCCCTATGGTTTGGCAAGCCTTATGAGAATGAGACCTAGAAAATTCAGGATGGTTCAAGAGCACACTACACACGTTGAATTCATCGCCCAGGAGATGTATGAGGTCATACCAGAAGCTGTAGAGAGAGGAGCCAACGACGATATGAACCAAGATGGATTTCCAGTGAATCCGTGGGGCGTTGATCTCGCTAGTTTGACCTCGGTAGTGTGTAAAGCAATCCAAGAACAACAAGACCAAATCAATTATCTCAAAGCTGAACTCGATGAGTTGAGAGCGATTATCTCTGAGTAATATATATATATATATACAACAATGGGGTGCGGACCAAGCAAAGGTTTGCAAACAAATCTCACGAATGATGAACCGAATCAGATTGTTGGATCTACACTACTACAGGCTGACAAAATCGTTGTTCTTGGCGACTCTGTGTTCCTCCCTACAAAGAGTCCTGACGGTGAGTCAGCCATCCTCGAGGTCAGCATCAGCGACAAAAAAATCAGTGTTTATCGAGGATATCGGAATAAACTGGTGAGGAATGGCATTGCTTCGATAGTAAAACAAAAAGTACGACTTTGCGGCAAAAAAGGCCCATGAATCAACAGCAAAGCATATACGATGGACTCAATCTACAAACTAAACGTTTTAACAGTATTTGGCTTCTTTTTTTTGGGTTGGTAAGCCCAGACGCGACCACCTTCAGTCTGAGTTGAGGCATCTACCTTCCTGATGGACTTGTCGAGATCAGTAGCCCAAACAGCTGCCTGAGTCTTCTGGGGGCGATCATGGATGATTAGGTTCTTCATGGTAGCTTTCAGCTCAGCAACGTTGAGATCGGCGTTATCGCCGTAGCTACCACCAGAACTGGAAATAATGCGCGGATTGAAGAAGAACATTGTCTATATTACCAAAAATATTATAAGAGACGAGTGATAATTTGCTTAAACTCTTTATCATCGATCAATCGATTGCTGTACATATCAACCGTGAGAGATTTAAGTTGCTTGATGATACTCGGATTGTCATTGCCTAATTCCATCTCCCCTTTCAGCTTGTCATACTCAGCTCGGAGTGTCTCTAACGGATCCGTGAGCTTATCATGGAAATTGTATTGGAGATGAGTAATAGCTAGGATTTCCTTAAATAAATTCTTATCATCGATGCTCAGCTTATCGTAAGCGGCTTGATCGATATGCTGCTTATAGACGAGCGTTTTAATCATAGATTGAAGGCTATCGCTAATTTGACATTTAGGGCCACATTTACGTCGATTTGGCTGCACAATCACGAGGGTCTTAGCATCGAGGTCAGGAATACGGATATATTTACTACCGAGCTGCTTGTAGATATATGCGGATGGGGTTGCTAATCCTTGGATCTCATTGAGGTTATATGTACGCCCGCGTCGAACGACACCTTCCAAAGGTGCTACACCAGCTCCCTTCAAACCACGCTCCTTTAGCTTTCTCT